CCATGTTTTAATTTTTTTGTAATTTAATATTTTGTGTTATATATTTTTGGGTATGTCACATCACACCAGTTAATTATGTGTTGATTTTTTAGTTTATATTATAATTGTATATAACAATATATTTTTTAGTTTATATTATAATTGTATATAAGAATATTTAACTGTACAATTTAAGACAGTGTAGAGCAAAATTAAATATGAAAAACCATCTGTCTATTGCCAGTGTAATTATTTCTATGTTTCTTTGCCTGTATAAATATTACCCCTGTAGTTTTGTGTCACTTGTATATTTGTTGTGTAGGTTTGGTGTAACAGGGTTTTGTTTTTGGTTTTGGTTTTGGTTTTTTTGAGAGGGAATTTTGCTCTTGTTATGCAGGCTGCAGTACAATGGTGGGATCTCAGCTCACTGAAACCTCCAACTTCTGGGTTCATGCCATTCTCCTACCTCAGCCTCCTGAGTAGCAGGGATTACAGGCATGTGCCACCACACCTGGCTAATTTTGTACCTTTAGTAGAGACAGGGTTTCACCATTTTGGTCAGGTTGGTCTCGAACTCCTAACCTCAGTTGGTCTGCCTGCCTCGGCCTCCCACAGTGCTGTGATTACAGGCGTGAGCCACTTCACCTGGCCTGTAACAGTTTTTTAATCCTGTCTAGGTGAGTAGTCATAAAATCTCTCCCAACTTCAACGTCTATTTATTTGTGAATCTATATTAATTTTGTGTCAGAGAAACACTTTTGAATCTGAAGATAATTTAAAAACAATAATTACTCTGTATCTATTTTAGGTATTGTTGTTTATTTTTACTTATGTGTTATGTGTCAAAAACACATAACAAAATTAACAACAAGATTTTCTAGGCCGGGCACGGTGGCTTATGCCTGTAATCCCATCACTTTCAAAGGCCAAGGCAGGTGGATCATGGTGTCAGAAGATCGAGACCATCCTGGCCAACATGGTGAAACCCCGTCTCTACTAAAATACAAAAAATTAGCCAGTCGTGGTGGCGTGCACCTATAATTCCAGCTACTGAGAAGGCTGAGGCAGGGGAATCGCTTAAACCCAGGAGGTGGAGGTTGCAGTGAGCTGAGATAATGCCACTGCAGTTTTGCCTGAGAGAGTGATAAGTACATATTTCTAAATACTCAGTTTGGTCATATTAATTATATTGACATTGTTATGCAACATATCACTAGAATGTTTTTATCTTGCAAAGCTAAATCTCACTACATATTAAACAACTACCAATTCTTCCCATTTCGTGGCACTTTTCAAACACCACTCTGTTTTCTGTTTTTAAGAGTATAACTGCTTTATATATCTCATACAATCTCTGTCTTTTTCTGGCTGGCTCATTTTATTTTGCATAATGTCATCAATATTTATCTTAATAGTTAGACTATTTTCTGCTATTTGAAAACTGAATGAGATTCCAGTATTTTTCTATCTACTGAATGACTTGGTGACAGAAATTTGCATTGCTTTAACCTATTGACTTTCAGTAACAATGCTGCAATAATTATGTGAAAGCTAACGTGCATGCTGTATTCATTTTTTTTCTTTTTTTTCTTTTTTTTTTTTTGAGATGGAGTCTCGCTCTGTCGCCCAGGCTGGAGTGCAGTGGCGCGATCTCCGCTCACTGCACGCCGCCTCCTGAGTTCATGCCATTCTCCTGCCTCAGCCTCCCGAGAAGCTGGGACTACAGGTGCCTGCCACCTCGCCCGGCTAATTTTTTTGTGTATTTTTAGTAGAGACGGGGTTTCACCGTGTTAGCCAGGATGGTCTCGATCTCCTGACCTCGTGATCCACCTGCCTCGGCCTCCCAAAGTGCTGGGATTACAGGCATGAGCCACTGTGCCCGGCCTGCATTCTGTTTTATTGGTCTACTTTTTCACTTTTATACTCATACCAAATTGTTTTAATTCTGTAGCTTTTTGATGTATTTAGAAATCAGAAATTGTAATGCCTCCAACATTATTCCTTGAAGATTATTGGGTACTTTATTATCTCTTTAGATTCCATATACTTTTGGATTTGCTGTTTTTATTCAAAAATGCAATGAGAAATTTGAAAAATATTGCATTAATTCTGTAGATTAAATTGAATGGTATAGACATCTTCACAATATTATTCCTTTTTTGATTGTTTGTTTTTGAGATGGAGTTAAATTCACCCACCTCGGCCTCCCGAAGTGCTGGGATTACAGGCACTAGCCACTGCACCCAGCCCAGTAATTTCAACAAGTGCATGCTTAATAGTGTGTTGTATCATTTCTATATATTTTTAAATTTATCAATTATTTATATTATTGTTTTATACTCTAATTCCATTTTTGTTATAGAAAGTGATCTATAAAATTTCAGTTTTAAAAAATGTGTTAAGGCTTTGTTTTTGGCCTAACAGGTGGTCTATAAAGAAGAAAGTTGTATGAGCTATTGAGAAGGCTGTGTATTCTGTTGTTGTTGAGGAGTGTTCTCTATACCTTCATTAGAAATCATTGTTTTTTACTGCCTTCTAGCCTTCTGTTTCCTTACTAATATTCTCTCTTGTTTTATTAAAGAAAGTGGAGTATTGAAATGTCATATTATAATCATATTGCTCTCTCTGTGTTTATTCAGTTTTGTTATATTTGCTTTATATGTTTGAAACCCCAATATGAGACACACACACATAAATACACACATGTATATACAAATTTGTAATAGGTTCCCAGTGAATGAATCTATATATTTTTTTAATGTCCTTCTTTGTCTTTTTGAAGTTTTGACTTAAAGTACATTTTAAAAAGTATGACAGTTTTTAACTTAACATGTAGCTTGTGTAATATTATTTTGACCCCTTCTTCTCTCATTTTGTTAATATTTACATGAAATTTCTACTTCCGTTTTGCCACTTTCAGTCTTTTTTTGTCATTAGATCTCAGCTGACTCTTGTAGAAAGGCAAGTTGAATCTTGATTTTTATAATTTCTTAATAAACCTGTTTATTGAAAGTATATCTCTTGATTGGAAAGATAATTATATATGTATTTAAATGGTTTTCTGAAAGAGAAAAACTTACTAATGTTATTTTATTAATTGTTATATTTGATTCTTGTATCTTTGTCTCTCCTTTTCTCTTTCTGTGGTTTTTGTGTTTTTTTGATTTTTGTATTGGTATGCATTCAGGATTCTTTAAATTTTCTTTTGTGTATCCATACAAATATTTTCTTGGCAGTACCTTGGGGATTACATGAAACCTCTAAAAGATCCAACAATATATTTGAATGTGGTAAAAAATAAACTTCAGTTGAATACAAAAATTCTTCATCATTACATCTGCCTACATTGCAGCTCCTAAAATTTCTCTTCTTATCTGTGAGTTTTGAAGTTTTGCTTGTGTGTGTGTTTGTTATAAATATCTTTGTGTGTATCCTAGTTTGTTCAGCTTTTTCATGTTTACATTAGTTTTTCTTTTAAGAAATTTTTCAGTTATTTTTTGAATTTTTTATATCCACAATTTTTGTTTTTTGCTATTTTAATATTTCTTATTATTATCCTCATTTTTATCTTCAGTACTTATCTATTTCACTTACCTAATATTTTTCAAATTTATTTATTTATTTATTCATTCATTCATTCATTCATTCATTCTGAGATGGAGTCTTTTTCTGTTGCCCAGTCTCTGGAGTGCAGTGGTGCGATCTCTGCTCATGGCAACCTCTGCCTCCTGAGTTCCAGCGATTCTCCTGCCTCCGTTTCCCAAGTAGCTGGGGTTACAGGTGGCTGCTGGCATGCCCGGCTAAGTTTTTGTATTTTTAGCAGAGACGGGTTTTCACCATGTTGGCCAGGCTAATTTTGGACTCCTGAGTTCAAATGATCCACCCACCTCGGCCTCCTAAGTTCCTGGGATTATATAGGCGTGAGCCATGTGCCCAGCCTATTTTATTTTAGTTTTGAGACAGTCTTGCTCTGTCACCCAGTCTGGAGCGCAGTGGTACAATATCCACTCACTGCAATCGTCCCCTCCCATGTTCAAGCAATTCTTGTGTGTCAGCCTCCCAAGTAGCTGGGATTACAGGCACATGCTACCACGCCCAGCTAGTTTTTGTAATTTTAGTAGATACAGGGTTTCACCACGTTGGCCAGGCTGGTCTCAAACTCTGATCTAATGTGGTTTACCCACCTTGGCCTCCTAGTGTGTTGGGATTCCAGGAATGAGCCACCAAGCTTGACCTGTACAGTTTATTGGGAATTTTAAAAATTACTTTATATACATTTTATGGTTGCTTTTGAAAATTTTATAACTTTGATGGGATCATATTGCTCTAATATTTTGTATTTATTGTAATCTTTGAGATTTTGACATTAACAAAATGCTACCTGTTACAATCTTTGTAATATAGCTTTGTCCTGGCATAGTCTGAAATCAATTGTCTTAACTAGAGATTCTGGGAATCTCAGCTCACTGCAGCCTTCACCTCCCAGGTTCAAGCAATTCTCTGCCTCAGCCTCCTGAGTAGCTGGGATTACAGGTGTCCACCACCACACCCAGCTAATTTTTTGAATTTTAGTACAGATTGAATTTCACCGTCTTTGTCAAGCTGGTCTTAAACTCCTGACCTTCTGATCCACCCACGTCAGCCTCCCAACATGCTGGGATTACAGGCATGAGTCACCCTGGCCAGTCGACAATTTGCTTTTAAAGGCACAATGTTATACTGGAGAGCAAAAACAGCTGTGTTGGGTATAAGTAACAGACTTTTCTATTATCTTCCATTTGGCCCTTTGCATTGTGCTCACCTGGGGCCCTTCACAACTTATGTATAAGTTTTTTACAAATGTATTTTGGTCAGTGTGTTTTTGTTAAATTTTTATGTCCAGGAAGAAATTACAGCTATGGTACTTTGCTGTGTCATCTTGCTTATGTAGTTTGTATAAAACTATAGTTTATACAAGATGACATATTTATATTTATCTGAGTCTACCAATTGAAGTAATGTGTTTTTGTTGTTTCTTTCAGTTATATATTCTCATTTTGCCCAAGACCTTTGGCCAGAGCAGAGCATAAAAGATACTTTCCAAAAAGTGATACTGAGAAGGTATGAAAAATGTGGACATGGGGATTTACAGTTAAAAAAAGGACCTGAAAGTGTGGATGAGTGCAGGGTGCACAAGAAGGTGCACAAGAAGGTGCACAAGGTGCACAAAGAAGGTTATAATGAACTTAACCAGTGTTTGACAACTACCCCGAGAAAAATATTTCAATGTGATAAATATGTGAAAGTGTTTCATCAATTTTCAAATTCAAACAGACAAAAGAGAGGACATACTGGGAAAAAACCTTTCAAATATATAGAATGTGGCAAATCTTATAAGCAGTTATCAACTCTTACTACACATAAGAAAATTCACACTGGAGAGAAACCCTACAAATGTGAAGAATGTGGCAAAGTCTTTAACTACTTTTGCAGCCTTACTAGACATAAGAAAATTCACACTGGAGAGAAACCCTACAAATGTGAAGACTGTGGCAAAGCCTTTAAGCACTCCTCCACTCTTACTACCCATAAGAGAAATCATACTGGAGAGAAACCGTACAAGTGTGATAAATGTGGCAAAGCCTTTATGTCATCCTCAGCCCTTAGTAAACATGAGATCATTCATACGGAAAAGAAACCCTATAAATGTGAAGAATGTGGCAAAGCCTTCAACCGGTCCTCAACCCTTACGACACATAAGATAATTCATACTGGAGAGAAACCCTACAAATGTGAAGAATGTGGCAAAGCCTTTAAGTACTCCTATAACCTTACTACACATAAGAGAATTCATACTGAAGAGAAACCATACAAATGTGAAGAATGTGGCAAAGCCTTTAAATACTCCTCTACCCTTAATACACATAAGAAAATTCATACTGGAGAGAAACCCTACAAATGTGAAGAATGTGGCAAAGCCTTCAAGCGGTCCTCAGACCTTACTACACATAAGACAATTCATACTGGAGAGAAACCCTACAACTGTGAAGCATGTGGCAAAGCTTTTAAGTACTCCTCTAACCTTACTACACATAAGAAAATTCATACTGGAGAGAGACCCTACAAATGTGAAGAATGTGGCAAAGCATTCAGGCGGTCCTCAGACCTTACTACACATAAGATAATTCATACTGGAGAGAAGCCCTACAACTGTGAAGCATGTGGCAAAGCTTTTAATTACTCCTCTAACCTTACTACACATAAGAAAATTCATACTGGAGAGAAACCCTACAAATGTGAAGAATGTGGCAAAGCCTTTCACCAGTCCTCACACCTTACTGCACATAAGAGAATTCATACCGGAGAGAAATTCTACAAATGTGAAGAATGTGGTAAAACCTTCAAGCAGTCCTCACGCCTTACTACACGTAAGATAATTCATACTCGAGAGAAATTCTACAAATGTGAAGAATGCAGCAAAGCTTTTAAGCAGTTCTCTAACCTTACTACACATAAGAAAATTCATACTGGAAAACCCTACAGATGTGAAGAATGTGGCAAAGCCTTTGAGCGCTCCTCTAAACTTACTACACATAAGAGATTTCATACTGGAGAGAAACCCTACAGATGTGAGTAATGTGGCAGAGCTTTTCACCTATCCTCACACCTTACTACACATAAGATAATTCATACTGGAGAGAAACCACATGAATGTGATGAATGTGGAAAAGCTTTTAACCAGCCCTCAATTCTAACTATGAGAATTGATATGGAATATAAACCCTACAAATATAAAGAATGCGACAAATTTTTTAAGGAACTTCTCAAATTTTATTACACATAATTCATACTGGAAAGAAACTCCACAAGTTTGAAGAATGTGGCAAGGCATATAACAAGTTCTTTTTTTTTTTTTTTTTTTTTTGTTTTTTTTTTTTTTTTGAGATAGAGTTTTTTCTCTTATCACCCAGGCTGGTGTGCAACAGCACAATCTCGACTCACTGCAACCTCTGCCTCCTGGGTTCAATCCATTCTCCTGCCTCAGCCTCCCAAGTAGAGGGGATTACCGGTGCCCACCCCCACGCCCAGCTAACTTTTGTATTTGTAGTAGAGACAGGATTACACCATGTTTGTCAGACTGGTATCCAACTCCTGACCTCACATAATCCACCCACCTCGGCCTCCTAAAGTGCTGGAATTATAGGCATGAGCCACCATGCCTGGCCACAAGTTTTAATTCTTAAGAGACATGGTGATAATTCATGCTGAAGAGGAACTCTACAAACGTGAAAGGTGTGACAGTGCTTTTATCAACACCTCCATCCTTTCTAGACATAAAAAATTTATGTTAGTGTGAAACCCTAGAAATATATAAAATGTGAAACAACCTTTATATGGTTGCCATTTTTGATAGTAAGATAATTCATACTGGCAAAATTCCTACAAGCATGAAGAATGTGGCAAAACTTTTAGTCAGTGTATACACCTTATTTCGCAGGAAAGCTAGTATCCTTGAGAAAAATTGTACAAATATAAAGAATATGGAAAACCCATGAATGCCTACTCACATCTTACTCAACATAAGAAGGTTCATAGTTAATAAAAGCATTAAAAGTGCAATTACTGTCAAAAAGTCTTTCAGAAAATATAAGCCTTTAAAGTGAAGAAGAGTGTTTATTCTGAAGACAACCATTACAAATTTAGAGGGGGTTTATTGCACACATTTTGTACTAGAGGAAAACCCTGAAGCAGTTGCTCCAGCTTTGCTCAACATCAGGGAACTTATATTGGAGAAGAGTCTTGCAAATGTAATGAATTTGGAAACACTTAATAAAAACAAAAAAAGTACAGCTCAGAAAACACGAGAGTTGGCCGGGCGCGGTGGCTCAAGCCTGTAATCCCAGCACTTTGGAGAGCCGAGACGGGCGATCACAAGGTCAAAGAGATCGAGACCATCCTGGCTAAACACGGTGAAACCCGTCTCTATTAAGAAATACAAAAAAACTAGCCGGCGAGGTGGCGGGCGCCTGTAGTCCCAGCTACTCGGAGGCGCTGAGGCCGGAGAATGGCGTGAACCTGGAGGGCGAGCTTGCAGTGAGCTGAGATCCGGCCCCACTGGCACTCGCAGCCTGGCGCGACAGAGCGACGACTCCGTCTCAAAAAAAAAAAAAAAAAAAGAGAACACCAGAGTTTATACTAAAAAATATTTTTGCAGAGGCAGTCAACATGAAAAAATATTTAATTCAAAATTAATTGTATGTACATATCAGAGAATTAAAGAATAAGGTACTGACACTTCAGACATTACACTAAATAACAGTGTTGAGTATAAAAATGAATTCACAACTAAAGTCAAATTATTTGAATATAACTTTTGATATAACTATTTGTATATAACTATATAAAAAAGGAGATTTTTTTGAAGCTTTGTAATTACATTGAAAGTATACTGGTTTCCTTGAAAACAATTTTTTGAAAAGTGAATAATGATGTAATACAGCTTTCAAATTACTTTATGCTGTTACTTTATTTCTATTGTATTCACATGTGAACATATGTGATCAATTGTCACTGCATCAGAGATATTAGAGATTCTTTATTGGACATTCTTTATGACCTTTTTTATAAAAGAGTAAGGACATTAAAATGTAAGATGCATGATGAAAATATAAGTGGAGAGGCTCATTGTAGTTAACCTGAATTAAGCAATGTTTAAGGTAGGTGTTCAGAGTAATACTTTTCTACATTATACTGAGAGAAAGAAATTATAAATTATAGTTAATCAATTATTGTATTATTTTACTAATTTTACTGTTATGTAATAAAATGTAATATATTTTAAAATTGTTAGATTATGTGTGAACTTAATTTATATTTTATTTATTTATTTATTTAACTTTTCTCTTGAGACGGAGTCTTGCTCTGTCACCCAGGCTGGAGTGCAGCAGCATGATCTCAGCACAATGACTGCAACCTCTGCCTCCCAAGTTCAAGAAATCCTCCTGCCTTAGCCTCCCGAGTAGTGGGGACTACAGGTGCGCGACACCACTCCTGGCTAATTTTTGTATTTTTAGTAGTCACAGGGTTTGCTCATATTGGTCAGGCTAGTCTCGAACTCCTAAGCTCAAGCGATCCACCCACCTTGGCCTCCCAAAGTGTTGAGATTACAGGTGTGAGCCAGTATGCCCGGCCTAATTTTATTTTTTACCATCTTAAAACTATTGTGCATTTAATGAAGCATTATTATGCCACTAACTTTAACCTATCCCACTATACTCAATGGTGTAAGGAAAAGATGAAAGAAGTATACTATTTGGCATATGGTGGACTACCATCACTAGTAATCACTTTGCCAGTAGCTTTAAACTGCAAATGAATTGAAGAATATTGTTCCCATTAGTTAAATTTTTAATCTTTTTTCGTAATTTATTATTACTATTTTTGAGTATATAGTATGTGTATATATGTCTTATAGAGCATATTTTGATTCAGGCATATAATATGTAGTAATTAGGGTAAATAAGGTATCCATCACCTCTAGTATTTATCCTTTCTATTCCAAACAGTGTAATTATACACTTTTAGTTATTTTAAAATATCCAATTAAATTGTAATTGACAACAGGGTTATTTTTATGGTCATAATAAAAATTATACAGATATATAAATAGAATATGGGCTGGGCGCAGTGGCTCATGCCTGTAATCCTAGCACATTGGTAGGCCAAGTCGGGCACATCATGAGGTCAGGAGTTCAAGACCAGCCTGACCAACATTGTGAAACTCTCTCTCTACTAAAACTACATAAATTAGTTGGGCATGGTGGTGCACCTTTAGCTACTCAGGAGCCTGAGGCAGGAGAATGGCTTGAACCTGGGAGGTGGAGGTTGCAGTGAGCTGAGATAGCACCACTGCACTCCAGCCTGGGTGACAAAGGGACACTCCATCTCAAAAAAAAAAAAAAGAAGCCGGGCGTGGTGGCTCACACCTGTAATCCCAGCACTTTGGGAGGCTGAGGCGGGTGAATCACAAGGTCAGGGGATTAAGACCATGTCTCTACTAAAAATACAAAAAATTAGCTGGGCGTGGTGGTGGGCGCCTGTAGTCCCAGCTACTTGGGAGGCTGAGGCAGGAGAATGGCATGATCCCGGAAGGTGGAGGTTGCAGTGAGCCAAGATCGTGCCACTGCACTCCAGCCAGGGCAACAGAGCAAGACTCCATCTCAAAAAAAAACGGCCATGTGCAGTGGCTCACGCCTGTTATCCCAGCAATTTCGGAGACTAAAGCAGGTGGATTGCCTGAGTTCAGGAGTTCAAGACCAGCCTGGCCAACATGGTGAAACCCTGTCTCTACTAAAACTAGAAAAATTAGCCAGGCATAGTGGCGCACACCTGGAGGCTGAGGCAGGAGAATCACTTGAACCTGGGAGGTGGAGGTTGCAGTGAGCTGAGATTGCAGTGCTGCACTCCAGCCTGGGTGACAGAGTGAGATTCCTCAAAAGAAAAAAGTATATATATATAATTTTTACATTTCTGAGTCCTGAAAAATTATTAATAAATATTTGTTATATAGTTTTCTTTGAACATGTGGTCTCTTTGCTTGCAAACATAGAGACTTTTAGTTTTAATTTTCATAGAGTGAAATATACACATACTCCTCTGAAGATAAACCTTAGGTGTAAGAAATCATGAAGTGTGTTTGGTGAGTATGCATTCGTACATATTTTCAGAAGAAAAGCATAATTATTGGAAAAAAATTTTAATTAGGTGACTAATGGAAAACTAAACACCTTGAATATGCTGAAAGCAAATTTATACTTTCTGCTTTGTATTGAATTTATTAATGTAAAATGTTATGGCTTATGGCTTGGATTCTCCCCAGAATAAAACACAGGCAACTTTGTCTCCACAAATAACACTCTTGAGTACAACAATAAAAGCCCTCTTCAAACACACACAAAAAATTATTTTTAACGCTTTTTTTAATAAAAATTAAACCAAAATTGAATAATTGGATATATTTTCATTGTTCTATTTGTGTGTGAATGTATAAAATGGCACATAAAGGAAAAATAATTTAAGCCAGAAAAAAGAGGTTAGTAAATATTTGTAATGAATAAAACTGGAAAGTAGTTCATTATTATTTGCAGATGACATTTTTGTTTATGTAGATAACAAAACAGTAGAAAGACTTTTTAAAGTTTATTCAGGTGGGTAGGCAACATTCTAAGATAATACCCTGGATTCCCAGTCTGTTGCACACCTACTGTGTAATACTTTCCTCTTGAGTGTAGAAACATGTGTGACTGTGGTGGGAAATCACTCATGAAATTAGGTTACTCATGTGTTGACTTTGTGTTTACCAAAATGGTAAATGTGTTTACCAAAATGGAGATTATCCTGATTGTGCTAAACTTGTGGGCCATGTTGTAAGCTGCTCATGGTGGCCACATGAAGGAAACATGTTTGTATATTGTCATCATTTCTACCTTCCGCATGTTGCTTCCAGTAGGGAGAGTATGGCAGAGGGAAGAAAAGGGAATCTCATTCATGCAAGAAATAATCACCTGTCACCTGGGATAGCTTAAGAAAAACAGGAGACCACAACAGGCCCACATTAATGAAAAAGGTAACCCGGGTAAAAGTGCCCACTGTCATTATGGAACAACATTTAGTAAGCTGTAGTAAATGATCAGCTTCTGGGACACCAATAGTCTACCAACAAGGCTGAACTCATTCTAATTCAATCAGCATGTCTGCACCATTCTGGTGACCCGGGTTTACACTACTCATTACAGAAATACCATGAAGACCAGTGGGTAATGTCCTAGAACTGAACTTACTTCAAATCATACCTAATTGTTTTCACATTTGAAAAACCTTAAACACAATGAATTCATAAACAATTCTAATACACTGTAATAAACTGTAAACAATATGAATATTTCTTGAATGCATAATTAGTTATGTAGACAGTGTGAAAAAAAAATTAAACTCGCCAGGCACAGTGGCTCATGCATGTAATCTCAGCACTTTGGGAGGCCAAAGTGGGCAAATCATGAGGTCAGGTGTTCGAGACCAGCCTGACCAACATGGTGAAATCCCGTCTCTACTAAAAATACAAAAATTGGCCAGGTGCGGTGGCTCACACCTCTAATCCCAACACTTTAGGAGGCCGAGATGGGCGGATCATGAGGTCAGGAGATCGAGACCATCCTGGCTAACACGGTGAAACCCCGTCTCTACTAAAAAATACAAAAAACTAGCCGGGCGAGGTGGTGGGCGCCTGTAGTCCCAGCTACTCGGGAGGCTGAGGCAGGAGAATGGCGTGAACCTGGGAGGCGGAGCTTGCAGTGAGCCGAGATCGCGCCACTGCACTCCAGCCTGGGAGACAGAGCGAGACTCGGTCTCAAAAAAAAAAAAAAAAAAAAATCACCTTTAACCTACTCTTCTTTGGCAGTCTTTTATATACATATAGATACAGATATAAGATAGGTGGCTAGAGAAACATATACAGGGAAAATGGGTAACATAGGTATGCCAATGTAATTTCCGTTGTTGCTTATGTCCTGTAGGGAAGCCTCAGAATAAGTAGGTCAGAGGTCGTTTTTCCTTCCCAACTTCTATAGCCCAGCTGAGTTTAATGAGCCACTTAGACCATCTTAGATGGCTATAAGTCAATTAGCTAAACTAGAAAAGTGAAGACATCCAGGCAGGACCCAAATGGCAAATGTGAATCACATAGGCATACAGTGAGAAGGGAAGCAGGGCCCTGAAATGCTAAGCTGGAACTAGAGTCTTACATGGCTTTACCAAAAACATACTTCCCAGGCCATGCACCCATATGTGAAGCTTTGTTGATGTTTAAACACAACATTGTATGGCTGTGTTCCAATCTGAGATGGTATGGATCCATATAGGTGAAAGTAAGTTTATATCTGCATCCTCAGTGTAGGCTGGGGAATTTAAAATGTTTGTTGATTAATATGTTTTGTATACATAAATATCTACACAGGCGAAGTCATATAATTCTATATGTGTGTTTTTTTCTGTCTACCCATGACTATCTATATACAGATCTAACTATCATTTTTTCCATATGCAGACAGAATAAAGATATAAGAGGTCAAAGGATAAATGGGTGTTGGTACTAATAGCAAGTTAAAGAAAAACTTCAATAAATGCAAAATCTTATTTGCCCTTTAAATTCCATCCATAAGAGCACACAAATGGAGGTATGTTCTGACCTTCATCTTGCTGCATTTAATATTTTCAGAGAAAGAATCGGTTTTTGTTCCTCACATCTGTTAGCAAAAATGCACTAAGACCATGAGAGTCATTTATTGCCAAGTCAAAAATGTCCTTTTTAATTCCGGTGAACGTGAAAACATAGATAAACTAGCCTCAGCTTGAAGGCCTTAACACAAATTTGCAAATGAAAAATTACTCTTTTTTTTTCTTTTTTTTTTTTTTTGAGACGGAGTCTCGCTCTGTCGCCCAGGCTGGAGTGCAGTGGCTGGATCTCAGCTCACGGCAAGCTCCGCCTCCCGGGTTCACGCCATTCTCCTGCCTCAGCCTCCGGAGTAGCTGGAACTACAGGCGCCCGCCCCCTCGCCCGGCTAGTTTTTTTTGTATTTTTCAGTAGAGACGGGGTTTCACCGTGTTAGCCAGGATGGTCTCGATCTCCTGACCTCGTGATCCGCCCGTCTCGGCCTCCCAAAGTGCTAGGATTACAGGCTTGAGCCACCGCGCCCGGCCGAGAAATAACTCTTTTTAAAGCTTCCCTCAAATTTAGGGCTTTTATTTTCAAATACGTGACACAGAAATAGAAGGTTTGTTTTTTTGTTTTTTTTTTTCAGATGGAGCTGGGTGTGGTGGTGGGTTCCTGTAATCCCAGATACTCGGGAGGCTGAGGCAGGAGAATGACTTGAACCAGGGAGGCGGAGGTTGCGGTGAGCAGCGATGGAGCCATTGCACTCCAACCTGGGTGACAGAGTGAGACTCCATCAAAAAAACAAAACAAAACAAAAAACTCACAAATGAAAAGTAAATCAGAGGTTATGTCCCTACTCATACTCCTCAAGATAGATGAATACAATTTCATCAGGCAAATTTAATAAGCCAATGAGCTCAAGTTAGGTGTTTTCAAATAGCAAATTAGCTGAGCCCAGGAGAATCGCATTAGCCAAATAGCTCAGCCCAAGTGATTCCATTTACCCAATCAGCTCAACCTAGGCAATTCCAATCAGTAAATTTCCTCAGCCCAGGTGATTACATTTTGCCAATTGACTCAACCCACGTGATTCCAATCAGTAACTTAGCTCAGCCCAGGTGATTTCAAACAGCCAATTAGTTCAGCCTTAACAATTTCAGTCAGTCACTGAGATTAGCCCCGGTGAATCTAATTTGCCAATTAACTCAACCTCGATTATTCTAAACAGAAAGCTCAGCTCATGTGATTTTAGTCAGGAAATCAGCTAGGTTCTAGCGAGTCCAGTCAGCCAGTTAGTTGAAACTCTGTGTTTCCAATCAGTCAATTAGCTCAGTTTAGAAGTATCTAATTAACCAATTAGCCAAAGTTAGTTGATTCCAATAAGGCAATTAGTTCTGCCCAGGTGGATCGAATCAGCCAATAATCTAAATAGTGACTGTAGATTCATTAAGTCAGAATGGTGGATGTAAAAAGCACTTTTCTACACTAAGAAGAAAAGCAGGGCCCAGACATACTAATATCTGTAGTGCAGTGGCACAATGATCTCAGCTCACTGCAACCTCCACCTTCCAGGTTCAAGCGATTCTCCTCCCTCAGTCTCCCGAGTAGCTGGGACTACAGGCGCCTGCCACTATGCCCGGCTAATTTTTATACTTTTAGTAGAGACGGGGTATTACCGTGTTGGCCACGCTGGTCTGGAATCCCTGACCTTGGGTGATCAGCCCACCTCAGCCTTCCAAAGTGCTGGGATTACAAGCGTGAGCCACCATGCCCGGCCGGAAACTTTCTTCTGTAGATTTAGAAACAGATATAAGACGTATATGTAGGAAAACACATATAAAAACTAAGGCTTCTATACATATGTCTAATTAATGTCTATTTATGAATATGTCTTAAAAAAAAAGCCCCAAAAGAAAAGTATGTAAGAGGTCATTACCTTACTCAATCTCCTCAAGACACCGTCAATGAACTCAGCCCATGTGATTCTAGTCAGCCAGTTAGCTCAGCCCAGGTGATTCCAATCAGCCAGTTAAATGAGCCCAAGTGATATCAATTAGTCAATCATATCAGTAAAGGTGAATCCAATTAGCCAATTAGCTTAGCCCAAGGTGATTCCAATTTGCCAATTAAATGAGCCCAAGTAATACCAATTAGCCAATTATATCAGTAAAGGTGAATCTAGCCAATTAGATTAACCCAAGGTGATTTCAATCAGCCAATTTTCTTAGCCTAGGTAGATCCAATCAAACAATTATCTAAATAGTGACTACAGGTTTATCAAAGCAGGCCCAAACTAGTGGGTGTGAAGAGCACATACATACACTGAGAAGGAATGCAGGGCCCTAAAGTGCAAACCTGAACAGCATAAATAACACGGCTTTGCTGTCAGCTTATTTCTGAAGCCTAGGCTACTGAAGGTGAAGGGTTCTTTTATGTTTATATAAACAATATTGTATGGCTATGTTCCATTCTGAAATGCTACTGAGCAAAAGAGATTGAAAGTAATTATGTATCTGTATAATTTGTATATGCCAAGTGATTAAAAATGGTCTATTGGGGAACATTTCTTGTATATATAAATATTTACCTAGACATACTCCTATAATCCTGTATGTAAGTTTTAAAAATCTATTTACCTGGTCAGCTGCAGTGGTTCAGGCCTGTAATCTCAGCACTTTGGGAGGTTGAGGTAGACGGATCATGAGGTCAAGAGTTCGAGACCAGACTCGCCAATATGGTGAAACCCCGTCTCTACTAAAAATACAAAAATTTGCTGGGTGTAGTGGTGCATCCCTGTAGTCCCAGCTACTTGGGAGGGCGAGGCAGGAGAATCACTTGAACCCAGGAGGCGGAGGTTGCAGTGAACTGAGATTGCACCACTGCACTCCAGTTTGGGCAACAGAGTGAGACTCCATCCCCCTCCCCCCAAGAAAAGTATCTTCTATGCATGTATAAATGTATCTGCCCTGTAAACTAGATCTAGAAGAGTACACTAATAAAGGTATGCTCTGACATACATCCTGCTGCATTTAACATATATAAAGGAAGCATTGGTCTTTATTGCTCACTTCTGGAAAATGAGCATGCACTAACCAATGGAAGTCATCCACTGCATGTCAAGGTTGATCCATCCCTTCATGCTGAACATATGGCCAGAGGTAAACCAGCCCCAGTCCTAAGGTTCTCACAAATTGTCAAATGTTTATTTTTTTTCTCATCAGGGCTTTCTGTAAGACATGGGATCAACTTCACTTTTATGAGTATGTGATGTAAAAGTACAATTTTGTCTTTTCATCTTTGTGACTGAAGTAGTGTCTTTATGGTAATGGAAAGAAAGTCTAGCACTCTTTCTAGAAGATAGGCCATCATAGTGAAAGCAAATATGACTGTACATGATACCAGGCCGCATTTCAACCAGACCATAGTGATCATACACAGAAGTGCCAATGGTGGCTCTTATTAGCTAGCTCAAAACTTCTCTCTTCTTTCTGAGTAAGGATAGTCTTACTGATGTCAGACATTCCTGCTTTTTTCAGCTGGATGGACAGAAGCCCACTAGGCTGATTTACTGAAATTCAGAAATGAAAAGACCTGGGTGCCAGGTAAGAAGGACATTTTCAAATTTACGAAAAAAACAAAAGTGTGGCAAAGTTTTGACTTGGATTTTATAAATCTTCACTGAGATAACTGGCTGATTGGATTTATGTAGCCTGGAAGTAAAGAACATAGAAATGACCTTTTAACCAACATTACTTCAGTGCCTTTTTTCTATAAATATGGATATAAGATAGGTTGATAGATAAACATATACACAAAGAATGAGTCACATATGTATGTATAGGTCAAGTTTATTTGTGTATATGTCCCATGTAGGACAGAGGTCATCTTCATCTCTACTCCTGCATCCCAGATAAGTTAAATAAGCAAATTAGCTCAGCATGCATGATTGCAAAAAGCCAATTAGGTCAGCTCAGGTAAATATAACCAACTGATTAGCTAAACTGGGAAAGTGTAGACATCAAGCCAGGCTCAAAATGATGGATATGAATAATACAGGCATACTCTGAGAAGAAAAGTAAGGACCTAAAATGTTAAGCTGGACATAAAGCCTTACATCACACTACCAAAATATTACTTCACAGGCCATGCTCATGAACATGAAGTTTGTTCGTGTTTATACATAATGCTTTATGGCTGTGTTCCAATCTGAGATGGTATAAAGCCATATAGGTGAAAAGTAAGTCTTCATCTGTGTCCTCAGGTTAGGCTGGAAAATTAGAAATGTCTATTGATGAACATCTTTTGTATGCATAAATATTTACATATACAAACTAATATAATCTTGTGTGTGTTTATGTACTTATGTATATCTATATCTACATCTATCTATAATTCTGTTAACATTCATGTAGAATAAACATGTAGCAAGTCAAAGTATAAGTGAGTGGTGGCTCATACCTGTAATCCCAGTACTTTGGGAGGCTGAGGCGGGCAGATCCTGAGGTCAAAAGATCGAGACCATTGTGGCCAACATGATGAAATTCCATCTCTACTAAAAACACAAAAATCAGTTGGGTGTGGTGGCATGTACCTGTCATCTTAGCTACTTGGGAGGCTGAGGCAGGAGAATCGCTTGAACTCAGAAGGTGGAGGTTGCAGTGAGCCCAGACTGGGCCACTACATTCCAGACTGGTGACTGAGTGAGACTCCATCAAAAAAAAAAAAAAAAAAATGGAATAAAGGGCATCCAAATTGGTAAAGAGGAAGTCAAACTGTCACTGCTTGTCAATGATATGATTGTATACCTAGAAAACTCTAAAGACTTATTCAAACAGCTCCTAGATTTGATAAATAAATTTAGTAGAGTTTCAGGATATGAAATCAATGTACACAAATCAATATCACTGTATACACCAAGTGACTGAGCTGAGAATCAAGTCAAGCACTCAACCCCTTTACACCAGCTGCAGAAAAAATATACTTAGGAATATACCTAACCAAAGAGGTGAAAGACCTCTACAAGGAGTATTAGAAAACACTGCTGAAAGAGATCAAAGGTGACACAAACAAATGGAAACACATTCCATGCTCATGGATGTGTAGAGTCAATATTGTGAAAATCATCATAGTGCTGGAAGCAATCTACAAATTTATGCCATTCTTGTCAAAATACCACAATCATTCCTCACAAAACTAGAAAAAAAAATCCTAAAATAAAAGAGCCCGCATAGCCAAAACAAAACTAAGCAAAAAGAACGAATCTAGAGATATCATATTATCTGACTTCAAACTATATTAGAAGACTATAGTTATCAAAGCAGCATGGTACTGGTATAAAAATAGGCAAATAGACAAATGGAACAGAATAGTGAATAAAGAAATAAAGCCAAATACTTTCAGCCAACTGATCTTCAACAAACTAAACAAAAACATGAAGTAGGAAAAGACATCCTATTCAACAAATACTGCTGAGATAATTGGCAAACCACATGTAGAAGAATAAAACTGTATCTTCATTGCTCACTTTATACAAAAATCAACCCAAAGTGGATCAAAAACTTAAATGTAAAACTTGAAACTATAAAAATTCTACAAGATAACATCGGAAACACTCTTCTAGGCATTGGCTTAGGCAGAGATTTCATGACCAAAAACCCAAAACCAAATACAACAAAAACAAAGATCAATAAATGTGACTTAATTAAACTAAAAAGCTTCTGCACTTTGGGAGGCCGAGGCAGGCGGATCACGAAGTCAGGAGATCAAGACCATCCTGGCTAACATGGTGAAACCCCGTCTCTACTAAAAATAAAAAAAAAAAAAAAAATTAGTCGGGCGTGGTGAAGGGCACCTGTAGTCCCAACTACTCGGGGGGCTGAGGCAAGAGAATGGCGTGAACCTGGGAGGTGGAGTTTGCAGTGAGCCGAGATGGCGCCACTGCACACCAGCTAGGGCGACAGAGTGAGACTGTCTCAAAAAAAGAAAAAAAAAAGACTACACTTTGGGTACTATGTACACTGCTTGGGATATAGGTGCACTAAAATCTCAGAAATCACCACTAAAAATGTTTTTCATGTAATCAGACATCACCTGTAGCTGCAAAGCTGTCGATATAATAATAAAAACAAATCTCCGCCCCCAAAGTCCCATAAGATTAAGTTTATATGCTTTGGCATTTAATTTTTTTAAAAAGGGTCTCTGTCATCCAGGATGGAGTGAAGTGGCTTGATCACAGTTCATTGCACTCTCGATCTCCTGGGCTCAGGCAATTCTCCTACCTCAGCCTCCTGAGTAGCTGGTACTACAGATGCAGCTAACCATGCCGAGCTCATTTTTGTATTTTTTGTAGACATGGGGTTTTGTCGTGTTGCCCAGGCTTGCCTCCAATCCCTGGGCTTCAGGAGTCTTTGTGCCTTGGCCTTTCACGATTCTGGGATTACAAGCATGAGCCACCATACCCGACTAGACTCTTATTTTTATATGATATAGAAAAGCTGAACATATTTAGATCTGCTAGTTAACAGAGAATTTGAAAAAAATCTATTAAAAATATAAAATGGTTTTTGTCTACAAATACTAATACCAAACAGTTCAAAATTATTTACTAGAGATTTCACTAAAAATTAGGTTTTTAAGAGTTAATGTAATTTATATATATAATTAAAACTACTGGATCTAACAAAAACAATTTTGCATAGTGTGCAAACAAAAGCAAAAATATGCTTTCAATGAAGAAAGTTAAAAATATTTTGTCTTGTTTGAAATTACGTAAAGATTGTCTCAAATTGAGAAAATAAAAAAAAAAGATAAAAATAAAATACAGAAAGTTTAAAAAGTATTTAAAAGAAGCCTGGGCGCGGTGGCTCATCCCTATAATCCCAGCATTTTGGGAGGCCGAGGCGGCGGATCACCTGAGGTCTGGAGTTGGAGACTAGCTTGACCAACATGGAGAAACTCCATCTCTACTGAAAATACAAAATTAGCCAGACATGGTGGCACATGCCTGTAATAGTTAATGCTATTTATAAAATGAATACTGTGGTCCAAGTCAAATAACTATGAAGTTCAACGTCTCAGAATTACGTGAGTGCGATAGCACTAAATATAGCGGGAAGAAAGATAACCAAACCTCGACTTACACACCTCGTCCTACTCCACACGCTGCTTTTACGCAAGAGAATTACAACTTAAATAGTTAACCCCACAAGCATGCATGGCATCACACGAGCACCAAGCCCAGAACCCTTGACTTTTAACGCCGAGTTCCTTTTAATTATAGAATTCAAATTAATTTTTTTTTTTTTTGGGAGATCGGAAGTTTAAACACTTTGTCAACCAATACGGCATGGAGTGCAAAAAATGGCACTGATCAATCTAGGTCACTGAACCCTCCAACCATCCCAGGAATATATCCAAAAAGTAAATACTTCGCGACTGCTCAGCTCGCCAAGTAGTAAATGGGAACAACAGCAGTGGCTAGCCAAAACCAGATAGAATTAAAATTTATTGTAATAATTAAGTGAAATGGGGTTTACCCATGTTGGACCAGGCTGTTCCGACAGTCCTGACCTCGTGATCCCACCTCTTCAGAGGACCTCACAACAAATGCAAACAAAAAAAAAAAAAAAAAACATAAAAAAAAAAATGCTAGATTCAACAGGTGTAAGAAGCCTCCAGTCGGACGCTATTCCTGAGTTTCATTGAGGTTTCCATTTATTAAAAACTCTGCATTTCACTACTAATCACAGAAGAAGATATACACAAGTCTCACCACTAAAATATAATTTTAGTAGTGTCGTGATGTGTGTGGTGAAACTGATTAACTAAGATAAGAACTAACTAACATTAAGGACGCCGCAATTATTTTTTGTCCAAAACTTATAATTCCTCTGAGACCAAAAATTAAAGTTTTATGTCGTTTTCTGCCTACCTTAAATAGGCACCCCATTGAAACCATTTATCAAGGAAATTCGTCGTTTTTTTTTTATTGAGACAAAAGTCTCACTCTCGTGCCCAGGCTGAGTGCAGTGGCAAGACGCGGGCTTATTGCACCTTGACTCTTGGTTCAGCGATTCTTCTGCCTCAGTCTCCCAAGTAGCTCGGGACTACCAGGCACATTACATCTAGCTAGCTAATTTTTGTTTTTTAGTAGAGACCGGGTTCACGTGATTAGCCCGGCTGGTCTAGAACTACCCTGACCATCGTGTCACCCGCTCAGCCCCTCCCA